CGCATTTACAGAGCCCAGCCAACAGCACGCACGACCTACGCGAAGTCGAGACCCGGCCTCTACCAAACGAACTCAGAAAAAGCCCATCCCACAGCCTGTAATACCGTCTGACGACGAGTCGCTTCACGAGGGCGACGACGAAGACGAGGAGGGTGAGCCACGCTACTGTTACTGTAACGAAATCAGTTTCGGCGAGATGGTTGCTTGCGATAATGACGCCTGTCCGCGTGAATGGTTCCATCTGTCGTGTGTGGGCTTGACGAAACCGCCCGGGAAGAATGGTAAGAGTCTTCTTTACCTTGTTGAAATTGACTAGGTTGCTAACAGTCTCTATTAGTGAAATGGTATTGTAACGAGTGCAAGGAAAATATGAGACGGAGTCGCAATGGGCGGTAACATGTCCCGTTCAATATTATGGACATTGATGATATGGCGTTATGTGGTGTTTTCAGTTGGCACATACTCTAGCGGAGATACGCCCTTGCTAGTTGATATTCTAGACTTTATGCATTTCCGGATATTGTCTGGCTTTTCGTTTTAGTACTCACCTCTCTCTCTTTGATCACCGAGTATTGTACTATTCCATCTTCGCATACGGATTAGGGAGAATTGCAAACGTGGGGACACCACATGAATTGATCGAGGATGAAGGTATGAAAACAGGGCTTTGAAGACGGGCTATATCTAATAGCGCCTCCTACCAAATAACCCAATGTTCCATCTCAACTGTCCGCGGTACATCTATACCAGATAGACATATTCAACAAGCCTTGCACATCCCAATCAAAGAACAAGTACTCTCTACCAATCACGCGTCAATCGATTAACAAACCCACCACCCTCGCCGGCAGTATTCGCGAGTCTCTGAGCCTGCACACCAGACCCCTCCACCCCCGAAGCCGAAGCAGCAACTTCACCCTCCAACCTCCGTCGCAGATCCTCATACCTCTCTCTCTCCGCACCACCAGACTCAGAGCCAGAACCACCCCTCCGCTCCTGCTCGCCAACCACCCAAGCCGGAACCCGGAACCCGGTGCTAGCCGGCGACAGACCCGGTAGCAGCTCCGCGCGCCAGGCTACACCGACGATCCAGCCCAGGGCTGACGGGAGGAGCATTGCGGGGAACTGGGAGAGGGCTAGCTGGGCAGCGACTATGTAGGTGGTTGATTTGTCGGAGAGGAGGAGGGATAGGCTTGGTGGCGGGGGTTTGGGTTGGGATGTCTGTGTGGCATTCTCGGCTGAGGGATCATTGTTGGTATTGTTGTCTGTCGAGTTGTTTGTTGTGGCGGGGGAGGATGTGGACCCGATGCGGTAGCGGTATGTGTATGGGATAGTGGCGTGGTACTGCGCCAACAGGGCGAATATGGTTGCTGTTGGGCCGGAGGGGAGGTAATTGATGTTATTTAGGGATAGAGGGCGGATTAGGAGGGTGAGGAGAATTGGCGGAAGTAGAGTCGTGTATGGTAGTGTGGTGAGTAGGAAGGTCTGTAGCAAGCAGAGTATCATGGTGTCAGCAATCGGTTTCCAGGTCATATATGATACTGTTTCAGTTTGTCCGTCTCCTGGTCGCATATGTCTATGCATATCTGCAGGAACGAGGGCAATAAGACAAAGAAGGACTAACCGCCATCTTCCGCTTCCCCCACGCGCGCTCGACAACCCGCAGGTGGTAGACTAGCATCGCGGCGAAGAGGGCCTCGGTGGAATTGGTGAAGCCAACGACGTGCCACACCAATGCACGCCAGAACTGGACGTACGGCCAAAAATGAGGCGATACATAGATCACGACGAGGTGTTTTATGTCGAAGAGGGAGAGAGCGATCGATGAGGCGATCGTGTAGATGAGGAGGGCTTTGGTGAGGGGCGCATTTGTGAGGCCGGAGGTGAGCATTTTGAGGCCCCTTGTGTTTCTCTTTTTCAGTGTGATTCTGGCTTGGGAATCATCTAAGTTGGGGGAGAAGGTGAGTTGGAGAAAGTTCAGTGCAGTTGAGGGGACAGATGGCACGAAGTTCCCGAAGTCCGGGGAAGCTCGACATGCCGACTTTATTCTCTACAAGCATTTTTATGTCACTTTATAGTTATGTTATTTTACACGTAGTTTAATAGATATCGAGATTTGTATTCTCTGTATGAATCAAACATTGAAGCTCTTATGCAGTATCCTATTATACATCCCATACCCAATATCAAACGCCTGGGTTGTTTCCTTCTATGTCAGTGCCATCTCTTGAGCAGCAGCCATGGCCGCTTCTTTATTTTGTTCGGCCAATTCTTTTTGATATCGGGTCGATGCGACCTCCAGTGCATGGAGTGTAGGACCAAGAAGCTGGTTCACAACCTTCTGGCCTCCCTCCACACCTTCTAAGTTGACTCGTAATTTTCGCCCGGTGCTCTCGTACATGTCACGGGCTTGCTTCTTTAGCCGGTCAACTTCGACTTTCCGCTCAGCCTCTGCGTCATTAGCAACAGCCTTAATACGCTCTGTTGCTCGCTGAAGAGACTCGGCTAAGGACGCGACCTCTCCAGCGCGGTCGGGGTTGCCCGAGAGGAATGCCTGCCAGAACTGGTGCAGAAACTCCGTTGTCGTGGCATGTGTTAATGTTAAGCGGTCAAATAGCGCAGTCGACAGCCCATATGTTTCTGATGGTGCTCGCTCGTTCATCTGGGCACGACGCTCGCGCAATGCTTTTAGGATCTGAGAGAATGCATCATGTAGAGCGGCAGATGATCCGACAGGTCGACGGCTAGCAGGTGCATCCTCCATCTCCTCGTCTTCATCATCGCCGGGGTCCACCAACTTGCCCAGTTGTGTATTGCCCTGCGATGGGAGACTTTGATTGATCTCCGTACGGAGAATCTGGAGAAGCTGATCCGGATCTTGTTTCGCAAATTGTTTGGTTTTATCCTCCTCCTGGCCATGAGTGAAGAACCGACTTTGATCACGAATGTTCAAAGTGATGCGGCTTTGCTCTTCTTCTCCACGAAGATCCTGCAGCTGGAGCTTTTTCCATGCCTCTTCGTTGATGCCTATAGGGGCACTCATATCCCCGTCGGCCGGAGCCACATTAGCCATGATCTTTTCACTCAGGCTGTTCAGTGTCCGGATAATGGGTACTTTGTCGACGCCAGATGGTCTCATATCTAGATCAGGTCGGTTTCCGCGACGCTGGCTGTGGTTTACTTCATTTCCAGCCAGATCTAAAAAGTGATGGATATTTGTGTCCCGGTCCGGCTGAGCGGCCTCGTTCGTTTGGAGGTATTTGTCCAGCACGGCATCGGTTGCGTCGGCCTCTGTAATCCGCTCTCCGCGCAATTTTTTGAACAGCCGACTTTGGAAAAATCGTGACCAGAACTGTTGCTCGCTGAGTTTCGGCACATTCTCGTCATACACGCGTTTGACCAGTGCATGTTGTGTGAAGATGAGCTGGATTTGCTCTTTGCTGATATTCAGTCGTGTCACGTTATCCTCGACTCGAGGCTTGAGTGAAGATAGCACATTATATGAGCCACGGATTTGGCCCTGTTCGATTGCGTGCGCTCGCAATAAATGCAGTCGTGTTGACCAGAACTGTGATACAAATGACCCAGACGACAAGGCTTCCGGTTTTGTGTGCAATCCCTCAAAAAACATTCGTTGCAGATTTGAATCGGATCTTAATAACGACTGCTGTAGTTCTATGTCGGACCGAAGCTTATTCTCGTCGTCCAAAGGATTCTTCGATGTCCCGGCGGATGTCACAGCGTTTGCAATTGCCATTGCCGCTGAGAGACCCTCAGATGTACCTCTAGGCACCGGTGTCTGGGATGGTGTAGCCGCCTTCGCCGTATTGACCCGAGCACTCAATGTGTCTTTGATGACATCGGCCTGCGGGCGGGCGTCTGCTCCAGCCGTAAACAGGAAGACATATTGATCGGGGGTACTATTGGGTGGCGCGTCGGGAGCTTGCGCAAAGATTTTGAGCATCACTTTCGGATTCGAGGCTGGGGTCTGCTGTAGATCTAGCAGTCGCGCGGGTCAGCAAAGAGAACGAATGCACGGCCATGGAGTGACTGCATACTAGTGATGTTGAGCACGGGGATTGTGATCGTGTTCCCAGCCCCTGCAACTGCAGGACTCCATGAGACTGACTTCTCATCTGTGGATATAGCTAGGGTCCCATCTTTCTTCTTGTAAGAGGCCGCTCCGCTCGGAGGTGACATCGTCGCGTGTCTTGACAGCTTCCACTGTCTTCAAAGGCGATAATGAATCCACCCATCGGGATAAGCAATTCCCCAAGGGCGGAAGTTAGTCAGGATGGTCTGGGACCTTCGTGATAGACAGGGCGTGTGGAGGTGAAACCAATAACGAGAAATGCGGCTCTTCTGCGATTCATCACATGACGTTGACGTTTGCCAAGCGTCACCTGGGAGCCAAGCCCTAAGTGAACGAAGCTGCAGTTTCATTTGTGATAAACAATGTAAATAATCCAAAAGATTCATTAAATGTATGTTTAAACCGGTGTTGTCTCATCTCTTTATTAGAAAGAGCCCTACTATAAAGGTTCGTTTATGCACAAGCCATCATCCCTCTTTGAGTATATCGTATGTATGTACTAGTATTCCCTTCAAATGAGATGATAGTAATTCTAAGGGTGATAAATAATATTTGAGCCACCGTTATAAATGTAGTATCTCTTGGTCGACTTACCATTTCTAGAGGGAAGAGTACTATATCCAACTTTTTCATACACAAAGTAGTTGCACGGGATATTATTCAGGACGCTTTCAATACATACTTGAGGTTAAAAAATAGTGAATACTATACGCGCCATCACCTTATGACAGGTGACTATTAGCTGCATATGGTATTGGTCCAAGCATAATCTCAACAACTTTGACATCAATAATGAAAATTAAGGTCCAAAAAGAGATGCAAGAAGTGACCTGAAACAACCCAAGTCCCAACACACGGGTTTTTACTTTGCACTTGACAGGCTCACCACCTATTTCATCAATAATGACTAAACCCATCCTTCCAAAGCCTTCCACGCAGAGCTGATTGTCTTCGGGGGCGAGACAAGGGTATCCCTCCGGGAGCTATCCACTTTGATCACCGCGAATTGATCACCACGGAAGACATAGTAGAGATCCTGACCACTCGGGCTCGGAACAATAGCATCAACACAATCAAAGCCAGCCTGAACAAGACTCGGCCAGCCCTCTGCAATAGTCGCAACCTTATTGACAATTTTGTCGGTACTAGAGTCCAGACGAACATAGTGCATGCCGCGGAAAAAGTACATCTCATTCTTTGTTCCGGGGGTGAGCATTGCTGCATCCACGGTGTCAAAGCCCGCTTGGGTGAGCGACTTCCATCCAGAGGTAATGAGACGGGCCCCTTCATTGACAAAGCTGTCATCGTAGTTTTCGAGCTTGATTTTGGCATATCGGCCTCCGTAGAAAACGTAGAGTTGTTTTTCCTGCCAAGGCACAGGCACAATAGTGTCCACTGTACCAAAGCCCATCTTGGGAAGAGTGTTCCAGCCCTTGCTTACGAGGGTCGGGCCTGCAGCAAGACTATGCTCCGGGCTTCCTTTGCTAAACCTGACACGACCATAGTGTCGACCGGCGAAGATATAGAGCTCTTCTTTTCCGGCAATGCGACAGGCGGCGTCAACCATTTTGAACAAAGATAGTCGGTAGAGATATTAAAAGGGTAGAAGTGGTATTGTTGTTGGTGGGCAGAGAATCAATTGTGAGAATGTGAATATATTCAGACTGGAGGTCGATATGTTGGTATTTATATCCATCTGCTCTTGGAATTTGGGCGTTTTACCGAATATTGCTCATATGACCTACTACTTGCCTGTACGATGAAAACATTTCAATGGCAGGTTTGTATGACTGAGATCGGATGCACATACCAATATAGCTAACATTGTATGTCCCGTCACGGTGTACTGAGGGCTAAGAGTGTATAAAGATGTGCAGTAATAGCCTCTCGGTTTAGGAGGATCAAGCTTTACTCCACAACCCATGCAAATAAGGGTATGTAGTGCCCTATTGTGCAACAAGAGGAAGAGAGCTCAGCCCTGTGGATCCACTTCTTAGCATTGGATCTCTCGGACTCTGTGGCTCACAGTAGTAGTTAGTGCTCGAGCCACATACCTGTGTGTAACGTCGAAGGTTGAAATTGAAGGACTAGACTCCTCCTGTGAGAGCTGGCTATGGATAAAGTGCTAGGTATGAGAAAATGAAGATACTGGCAATATTCTAAGAAAAAGAAAACAAGTAGTGGTCGTCTTATCTCGTCTATCTGGTTAAGCAGGACGGTGGATATTGGGACTTGTTTGATATTAGACATTCATATTTCCAATAGGACTAAGATATTTTTGATCTCATATACCAAATTAGTCCCACAATTCCTATAGGGCTTGTTTGAATGTTTGCTCTTCGATCTTTCAGATCGTCAAGTCTCTTGTTTTATTCATTTTCCCGACAGGTCTCTATCGAGGGTGTATGTCTTAGGTCGGGAGCTTCTATAAATAATAGTAGTGGAAATAGACAGAAATGGCTTATAACACCAGGAGAAAAAAGATAGAGAGCGAATACGCAAGAGCTCCTATGGAAAATGGAATATTTGGTCGATAATTTACAGAAGCAAACAGGTTCATCAATATTAATCAACTATGGTACACATGCATTGACCCATAGATACATGTAGATCATTTTCGAGAGATGCTGCAAGTTCATGGTAGATAGCAAGTGCCATTGACAGAGTGTCGATAAATGGCAAATATCCAATGGATTCCTCCTATTTGAAGAACTTCTCCAACTGCTTGTGGCGCAACTCCTTGAGCATCTCCTCAGACACAGACCTAATTTCCCCAAGAATTGCATTCTTTCAGACGACTGTTTATATCACTAGCATCAAGTATACAATCTCCTATAGAACTAATATAATCTCCTATAGACGTCTGGGTATACATACCTGGCCCACTTTGTTCATGCGGAAGACCCTGAAGACATCGCCATCAGTTGCAAGTGTGTATGCAATGTGGTACTGTCTCTTCAGACGCCTCTGCTCGGCGTGAAGCCAACCTTTCTCCAGTTAGTAGTGACAGAAGTACCAAAGGCTGATACAGCACTCACCCGTAAGCGCCGTCATTTCTGAGCCTATTCCCTCACGACCCAAAACCTTTGAGGGTCGCATCACAGCCAGAAAATTGATGCTCTTGTCCTCCATCCCGTACCAAAAAGAAGATTCACGATGTCCATATGCGCGAGCCCTGGTAGAACTAGTACATACACCCATGTAAGAAAACCCAGAGCGAGATTTGAGGTCTAGGGGTGATGGCTCGAGCATGTCTCTGTTCATCACTTGGAAGTGGACGGCGGAGAGGAGTGACTCAACCCGGAGTCTTTGGGATGCTTCATTATCGGGTTGTAATCTCAGTGCCTCGAGAGATTTAGAGAGGTCCTCTTGGTTGGATTAAATTGTAGTTGGCTAAGAGAGAGAGAGAGGGAGAGAGAGAGAGAGTGCGTTAATGAAGAACGAGGTGATGGCGAGAAGAGAGGGGATCGAGTCTTAGAAATTTGTTGCCAGGTAGTTGCCTATCTGGGACTGCAGTGGTTGGCACACCCCCGATGAGGCACAAGGCACAAGGCTATATCATACTAGATTTTTGCGCGGGATCACAATTCAAATCACCAAATAACTACATATATAACGTCCCGGAAGCCCGTAGGCTGTTAAACGTGAAGGGCTAACCCTCTGGGCCGGCCTCGCACTATAGCATTAGAGAATTAGCCAGTTTGTTATATCTCTTAACTTTTCTAAAATTTATAATAAAGAAATTAGTTTAAAGAAGAAGTTAAAGACCAAACGTACTTATATAGACGTTTTTGAAAGGAAAATGCGTGGATCAGAAAAAAGGCTATGTTGTATAAGCGTTCTGGCAATCCACCGTCTGACTAACATATATGAACCAATAAGAAACCTCGAAACGTACAAAACATTACAACCTTCCTATAGATAGTTATGTTGGTTGATTGATCGAGTCTACGAGACAGCCCATAAGAGATAAAAGTAGAGACTAGGTAGGGATTTATGAGTAGAGTAGTAAAATCCAGATAGATACAGTAGCGCCATATGAAGCCAGTGATATGATAGAAAAAAAGAAAAAAAGAAAACCAGACACCGCTGAAGAGATAAATCTCAGATGCTATGCAAAACCAAAAGACAAAACGCGACCGAGAGCACGAACCCGAAGCCAGTAGCCAGAATGCCGAAATTCGTAAACCATGTTGCGCGCCGCCATGCATAGACCGGATATCATCATTCATGATCGTCAAAAAAAAAAACAATAAACAATAAGAGATAAAGCAATAAAAGCAAAGCTCCTCCAATAAAACGCAAACCATGAAAATGAGGGATATCAAATCAAGGGTATAAGCAAAAGTGATAAAAAAAGATCCAGCGAAGACGCTTTTTTTGAGAATAGAACGCTCATAGTAGATCATTTTTTGAACATGTAGTGACCATAGAGACCGCCGACCTCACCGACGGCCATGGGGATCTTGCGCATACCCCACCAGCGCGCACCCATCTTCCAGTAGCGAGCGCCATCGTCGAGGGGTTCGTGGGGCATGGAGGATGGTTCGCGAACGTACCAGCCACGACGGCCGAGGTCTCGGACAGTCCAGCCAACGGATGCGCGGTGAGTCTTGGCGCGCTCACGCAGCGGGGTGATAATCTTGTCACTGAACTCAACGACCTGCAAGGGGTAGCTTTGGTTCGAGAGCAGGAAACAAGTGCTGGTGTTGAAGATGGCTCCGATGGTCATCTGTGGCACCTTGGCAAGATCGAGGTAGCAGAGAGTGCTGGGGGCATCGATTTCGACTCCCGTGGCTGGGTTGCGGTACCGACCGAAGAACGAGTTCACGTCCGCGACTGAGAGATCCGCAGAGCTGAGACCCAGCTCCTCCAGGTGCTTGGTCATAGGCACCAAGTGTGGGACATGGTCCGAGGTGATCTTTGCTCCGCCCAGGTTGAGGGAGCGGAGAGTATCGGGAAGATTCGGCAGCAGAGCAGACACATCAGCCTCTTCCAGAAGACGGAAGCGGGTCGGGTCCGTCAACAGGTTCAAATAAACAAGAGACTCATTGACCGAAGGGTGGGTGGTGAGGAAATTAACCAGAGCGCACGGGCGGAGGCGCGTGCATCGGGACAAGCTCAAATGCGAGATACGGGCAGTCTCGGGGATGGCGAAGAGAGCTGAATCGTTAACTTGAGTGTGAGTAAGGTCGAGGTGCGTCAAGTTGACCAATCGCGGGAGGAGGTAGTCGAACATGGGAGCGGAGATAGTGCTGCATTCGTGAAGCGAGAGCCGTTTCAGGTTGGGCAAGGTCATGGATAGCGCAGGTCCACCGACCAAGGCCTCCTGGAAAACCCCAGAGAATGCCTGAGTCGAACAACCGCAGAAATCCACGGCGCGCAAGTTCGGCAGCCCCATCAAGAGCTTCCGGACCACTTCCACACTAATATCGCCTTCCAGGTGTTCCTGCAGCAGACATTCCTTCAAATTGGGCAGAAGTTCCAAGCATTGCAAGAGGGTCTTGGAGGTCAGGTTCTGGATTTCAGCGTTCATCTGCTTAGTTCGACCCAGGCCGACGGAGGTGAAGTGCGAGAAGTCCAGACGGCGCACCAATGTCCCCAAAGCCGGATACTGCGACATATGATTAAGTGCCTTGGAGAAGATAATGGAGTGTGGGAAAGTCATGTTCCTGTACAAGACACCCAAAGTAGCAGCGTGCAACGTGTGGGATGTAAGCAGGCACGAGACCAAATCCACGTTGCGAGGGGCGTAGCCATTTGGTGGAAGATCGACCGCAAGGTTCGAGATGATTTGATCTACCAACAGGTGTTAGCCACATGAGAAACGAGAACGGCAGGTGCAACTTCTTACCAAGAACCTCGGGGGGAGCCTCTCCAAAGGCGATGTACCGGGAGGGGTCTGTAAAACCTCCACCTCGGGGGCCTTGGGAGGGAGAAGCTCCATGGCTTCAGGTTCCGGGGCCTCCCATGCCCAGCCCTTTGCCTGTAGGCTTCCAAGCCCACGAAGATCGCTGTAGCTGCGGCTCAAACTCTTCCCGCCCAATCGAATCTGCTTCCACCCAAGGAATCCACCACAAGGACAGCAAAAGTCCGGGGCCTGTTGCATCTGGGTGGGGCGCTCGACCTTGCGCTCTTGGTCTTGCTCTTGGGGAGATGTTGCTTGTTGGGTATCCACGAACGATTGCGCAATTCCTAGATTACCCACGATCACGTCAGCCTGCAGCCTGGATTCGCACATCGTCGGTACGTACCGTCCTCCGTGTCTTCTTTGATAGAACCGAATGAGGGGCGACGTTGGCTGCTCGACCTGGACCCGTCCGGGGTGCTGCAGGGCGAGGGAGACGACTCGCGTGAGTGGAAGTGATCACCACAGGGGATTGAAGACAGTCGTGGGAAGGCCGGCTTGGGTTGCGAAGGGGCAGGAGTAACGGTGGTCATGGTGCAGAGGATGAGGCCCTCTATAAAGGGCCCTAAGTGTACAAGTGACTAGTCGAGGAGTACCTTGGTGCAGGTGGAAACACAAAAAATAAAGTCTACCGAAATTTAAAAATCAAAGGGCTTCTCCAGATTGAAAAAAAAAAGGAAAGAAAAAAAAAATAGCCCTCAAATCAAAGAAGTGTTTTAAGACCGAGGGCAACTTTAGGGCTCTCAGAGGGGCGGCGGGGAAGGAAAAAAAAAAGGAAGCTGTTAGTCACGGAAACGGATGAACCGGTGTTGCACAACTTTGTAATATGGCTTTCCGATCGGATTCGCTGAAGGATTCCAAGACCTTTTGATCCAGTGGCTTGAGACTTTTAAGAAGTTTTGTAAAGTGAAGTGAGTGAAAGTTGAAGATCGAAAAAAAAAAGTGTAAGAAGAAATGCACCACGGGTCATGGCCACATGGGGCGAATTTTTAATTTTTAAAGAAAACGGGTGAACTGATTGATTACGGTGGCGGATCTGTATTCTTTTTTTCTTAATGAAAATTGAAGTATAAATACTGAATTGATATATTTGATATACGTTAATCTATATATATCGAATTATATACTCCATCCACCTATGCTATACTTCCTTATATCACAACTAGACTGATTAAGTTCGTGTTAGTTCCCCAAGCTACCCCTGCAGACCCCATTTACTTTTTTTTTTTTTTTTTGATGCATGCGGAAACTTGGCGTCATTCACCCACATTTGGACCTGATAGAGATATTCTTTTATTAAAGATACACCTGACAACTTAGTACATTTACACCCGAGAATGCTGTACTATTGTTCCAAGGGTGTTCAGGTGCCCAGATGCTCCAATTCTATGACATAATCCTAAACCTTCTGAGATCCACTGGTACCTAGCGCCCTCACCAATTCCTTAAAAGTGACAGGTCAGCAGATCTCAAGAATCCGATGCATCCGCTTTATGAAATGTACCCCAGACCACGAGTTCCTATTACCTAAAATATTTACTCTCCATGCAGCTAACCTGCTAGTAAACAGCCCATTTTCGCCTCTTTTTGGAGATGCGGGGATAGACGCGCTATTACATAATGAGAACCACAGATCCTGTCACCTGATAGCATTACGGGCCGTGTCCCCTTTCAGATCGGAATTGGATGATCCCTATATTTTTAAGTCAATTCAAAAAGTACTACGGAGTACTCCCTACTTGGTACCGGAGTTCCGATGGGATGGAACATTAATTGCTCCACTAATGCTAATGCTCTAGTTAACATTCGAGTGATTCTAGTACATACTATCTCGCTCGTCTATACTCCGTGCTCCGTACTTTGTACTACTCCCTACCCTCACCGACTTTGCTTGTCCCCCCAGCCAAGCCCGGTGATCCACGGTTATGCCACTCTTATGCAGTCGATCGTCAAAGCCAAGCCTATAGTTTCCCCCATTAAATATGTACACATTCCCCCCGCTTTCTACCTCCTACATCCCTCCTGGGGAAAAAAACAATCTCTGGACTCTCCCGGCTTCTCCCCTGCCCGGTCCTGCATTCTTGTCAACCTGACCGAGTTGAAATCGGACCGGATTGCTGACTAGCACTGCATCGTTGGTACGACTTGCCCGACAGCGTTGGCAAAGGCTTAGTTCTCGCGCTGCAGTTGAACAACCTGGGAACAATGCAACTCAGTCCAGATTTAAAGGCTTGAAGGGGGTGTTGGCGTCATTCGAGTCAAATCTCTCTCTCCTGGACTCTTGGATTTGGCCGTCAGAGATAACAAGTGGGTACGGCATCGGAGGGGCTTACTGCATGCCGGCCAAGCCCTGGTCGTGATGAAGGTGCACCTCCGCGGAATTGCATCTGCCGCCAAGGCTTCCGCATTGCTCGACTAGACAAGGAGGTGGACTTAGTTCTTGGTCCTTCTCTCCTTGCTCTACTTGTGGGTTCTCTTAAACTAATCATTCCCAATATTCGTGCTCAACGAAGAATGTCACTAGATTATAGCCAAGTGATCTGACTACGTTGAAATTGTGAGTTCAACCCCCCCTAGTTTTGTCTTTTGAATGGCGAGAATCTTTGAAAACTACTCTTTCCCTGATGAACGTTTTTTTAAGCGTTTCCTATTACCTGACACCCCGGTCATACTATGTATTATTGGGAATGTTGAAATTTGTGTGGATACTGAATGGAAAAAAAAAACAATGTCATTGCGCGAAACCGTCAACTTTTCAAAACTACTTGAACATACGTTGACAATGGCTTGCTTGCGGCAAATCTAGCTTTCGCTTCGATCAATACCGCAGCATCTCGGACTGGAATACGGGCCGCGGGGGCCGTGTGGGTCATCGATGGATCAACGGCTAGGCTCCACGTAAATTCGGAGCAAAGAGTTGCCAGGAAAAACATCCATAAAGCAAGCGGACATATCACCATCGCGCGTGTGCTCGGACGCGCGTTGAACAATAGGGTCGATAACGCGTGCAAGAATACTATCAGACTCAAGACACACCGGCGGAACATGCGGGCCACCACGATGAAACAGAGACTCCAGTAAAGCGAGAACAACACCCGGAGACGATGCGGTTGTGAAAGAGATTGGAGAGGATCGGACACATGCGGGTTTTATATATCGGGAAAGGCACCCTAAGTCCCTGTCTGTATATCTAGATCGCCCGCTCTTCTTTGGAAAATTATATGCCTTGAACTCGTCTATATAAAATGAGCAATGACTCTAATTATCGACTGCTCGCCCTTCCGAGATCGAAGAGTACCCAACTTGAAGTCCTGTGCGCCCAATAAGCATAATTCCCCATACACCAGATCTTCCTGGAGTACATACGAAACCCAACTATAAAACCCTAAATAAACCCACAGCTAGGATCTCCCAGTCGAAATACCAAGACTCTATAAGAATGGCAGTGAAGAATACAACCATATCAGCAGACTTAATTTACCCCAAACGACCTAATAGCTCCTTGTAGCTACCCAACAACAATATCCTCACTTCGGCATAACAATGCGACTTGGAAACGCACACTCATCTAATTGTCCTGTCTCCACAACCACTTCTCAAACTCATCCGAACCTAACCCCCGAGGCACCTGGTCCTTCAAGCTCTTCCATTTCATCGATAATCCAAAACTTGCATGTCCCGTTGGATCCTCCATCAGCCTCTGGATCCTTGTTGTCTCCGGGTTGTCCTCCCCCTCATAGGCCACCCTTGCTTTATACGATCGCTCCGCAAAAGTCCTAGCCCGCGCCTGATCGCCGTGCACGATGCAGATCTGAAAAGCATCATAGTAAAGCCTAGCGAGATGTGCACCATGACTACCTTCAAACTCCTCTTCAAGAATTTTCAGAAGGACATGGCAGTCTTTGAGGCAGTCCCTAGGGCTCTGCATCACGCGGAGCCCATTAACGATTGCGGCGTCGAGGCGTTGAATTTGCCGGCGGCGCTCGTCACTCTGTTGCAGTTCATTGGCTTGCCTGGAGCAGATGCTGCAATCACAATCGAAGCCGAATGCATCCTTCAGATGACGACGTCGCTCGTCTGACGTGCCCCCATGATTATATGGGATGGTGATCTCTTCTCCCGCCCTGATAAATCGAACGGCATGGATATTTTCGAACCCCGAGGCACTTTCCCAGCTGTTATGTGCGTTAGGCAGACAGCTGTGGTTGAACCGCGAGATTGTAGGATAAATGCCTCCAATTGGAGATTCAGAGCCGCATGGCAGAGCGTTTGTTCGGACAATGCCACTGAACGGTTGCTTTCCAGGGAAATTGTTATACAAGGAGAGGAACTAGCGTTAGGCGTCCTTCAGTAGCTTCTGAAGCTCTATTGAAATTTGTTTTTCCATCGTGGCTGCGCTTGTAACGTTCGAGGTTGTGAAAAATGGCTTCTTAGAGAGAATCAATTGGCCTTTTGCAATGTTAAACATTGCCACGAGGCCTTATCCCTTTCCTGGCACTAGCTGTATTTCATATAGTGGTATATTCAGCTCGCGGATTGGATCAGTACCGAGCACAAACTGGGCTATGGTAGTTGGCATTTCCGGTTCGTCGAACTGGTTATTCAGAAGTCAGAGAGGGGGCAGTGAATCATAATATTTCCAAATATCGTACCTGCTCATAGGACCTGATCGATCGTTTCACGTCATCAAGAACATAATGACCCGGCAACCCTGAGCCCTCATCCCAGCAATGAACTTTCGATCCGAAGTAGCAACTGGCTACCCGGCTGACAGTATCGATATGGTTCCTCAATCCGCCGGAGTCCTCATTCGGGATCGTTGCGCCAAAACGTAGGAACTTGTGACCTTCAAATGGAAGCAGCAGGTTCGGGTCGGAATTGAATTCAATGTAGTTAGGCTTCACTTCGACTTGAGCATCATTTTGGTAACGCTCTTTGATGGATTGCAAGAATTTTTGCCAATTGTGTTTGTCCACCAGCTCTTCTGATAGGCGTGGGACAATGTCAAAGCCCGTGTAGGAACCCATGGTTATCGGTCAAGTTATCGATGAAAGAGGATTGTTATGAACCATGAAGTAGTAAAACAAGACAAAGGGAGAATGTACTCCTATGAGCAGGCTGTTGAGCGTAAGCTTCTGGGCGCAAGAGAGGGAGAGAAGAAGGATTAATTTTTCTACTGGCAAACCGAGGCTAGCTAATATAGTTAAATGGCATCCTGAAAGGGAAGGCACTAATGGAGGCAAACAGGTTACACCAAGGCTCCTTCCTTATATTAAAGGTTCTACACCGTACACCCTTTCTACACAGGAGAAAGCGGATATACGAAACCTCATATTCCATTTGTTGTTGAAATTAGCTTATACTTACTGTGTTAGCCTTCTCACCATGCATAAGTTCAGATATTGGGACACATACATATCCTATGTATGATGAACAGGTGGGTGATGTCGCTGGTACTGCAGCTAGCCCTAGAACGTTCCCCAGAGGACGACTCAACCAGCGCAAACGCAACCCGAGACAACAATCCCGTCCTGGTACCCCATCACCCGGGCAAGACATGCATACCCACTCAAACGCCGTGGTCTAGAAGCCCGGAGTAGAAAGTAGAAAGTGTGATCGAGAAATGTGTACCTACCCGACTCATAGCGTGCGTGTCTTAGAAGATGTCGGGTAGTCTTGTTTGCCACTCTGGCGGTTGGATATTATGCAGGTGCTTTGGGTTATTGGCTATGTATGTCTTAGGGTACTTTGCTTCTTTCTTTCCTTCTAGTTCCTGGCTTTCCCGAGACATTCGTGGTCTAGGCGTGGAAGTGTCGAAAATTGAAGATGAATATAGATTTTTCATATGTTGATATATGCTCTGGTATAATATACTGTTTTTGACAATGGCTTGTTTTTATGCTGTGTAAAAGTCAAGTATTAAAGAATATTATACGCTGTCCATGGATTGAAAAAGGGTAAAGAATGCATCAAGAGCTCTGGTAATAAGGGATGATACATCACCATGTCGCCAATCATTGCTTTTTCTGGAACAATAGAACTTTAGAATACGCAGATTTCACTAAAAGAGAAAATTACACAGAAATAGTTTACTAGTAAAGACTGATTGACGACGTCATTGATGAAAATTGCTTGATATGGTATTGAAATATTGGGATATAACTGCATGCGGAAATGTGTAAAAAAAGGAAAAGACAAAACAAAAAGCTTCTTCGGGTCATGGCACATGAAATGTAAGAATCCAGTCTAAAAAGGGAAAAAAGGAGGTCGAAACCACCGACCATCCACATTGTAGAAAGTAGAAAGTAAATCTCAAGTCTTTTCTCAGGTCGATAATCCAAACGACGTGACAAAGGATATCAAAAGTCCTAAAGCCCAAAATTTAAGGGGCACATGCATCAGAGAAATGGCGGAAAGAAAAGAAGTCTATGAAATGACATGAGAAAAAAAAAGGAAAACGCCACGAAAGAAGTCCTTCTCAAGCCCAGTATCACATGTTTTTTGAGTTTCGTTTCAGCGTGAAAAATTCGAGGAGATCAAATGTCCTTTTTACTCAATGGCGGAGGCACCGTCACCGTGGGTGACTGGGTTGACCTTGGGGTTCCACTTGAGCTTGAAGTCGGCGCCGAGCTCCTTAGCGATGGCAGCCTTAACGGCCTCGAGGACGTTGTTGAAGACACCGAAGTTGGCAGGGCTGTTGGGGTCGTTCTCGCCCTCCTTGCCCTGGAAGACACCAGTGCGGACCAAGCAAGTGTTCCAGCCGTACATGTTTCCACCGATGATATCGGAGGCGGGGTTGTCACCGACCATGTAGATGTTATCGGGCAGACGGGAGACGCCGTGGAGCTCCTCCATCCAGGCCTTCATAACCTCGTCGGCGTAGGTGTAGGTAGCACGCTCGGGCTTACCGTAGACAACACGCTCAAGGTCGACACCGGTGAGAGTCTTGTACTGAGCCTCAATGGAGATACGGAAAGCACCCTGGGTCAGACGGGGGAGACCCTTGTGCTCGGTGGGCATGAGAAGATCACCCTGGGAGAAGTAGATGGGGATGCGGGTGGCGACGGGATCCTTGGCCTTGGACATGAGCTTGCCGTCCTCGGCGAGCAGCAGATCCATAATGACCTGCATATCGGTCTGGTAGTCACGGGAATCGGCGAAGACCATGATGGCGTCGAACTTCATCTGGGAGAAGTCGCGGGGCTTGGCCTCGGCGCGCTCCGCGTCGGTGAGAGTGGCCCAGGGGGAGATGGAGGGGTCCCAGGCGAGGAGGTCCTTGGGGTGCACGACGGTCTTGAAACCGTAGTTTTCGGCAACCTCGCGGATCTTGAAGCCTTCACCACCAAGAACCAGAACGGTCTCGTAGTACTCAGCCAAAGCCTGCATGGGAGTGTGGGACTGGATGAACTGGTCGGTGGAGATGGGCTGCTCGAGGATCTCGGAGAGCTGAGCACAGCGAGCCTCTTCAGTCTTACCACCACCGTTGGTGAGGAGAATGTGGGGGATGCGGATACCCAGCTCGTTGTCGCCGTTGAGCATCTTGAGGGCGACCTTGGCCTCCTCAATGGCGTGGTTACCGTGTGCCAGCACACCATCAATGTCGAAAGCAAAGGCCATGTTCTTGGCCTTGGTAGTCTTCTCCTTGTTGATATCCTGGACCTGGGAGGCCAAGATATCCCGGGAGACTGAAGGAGCACCGCGCTGCGCAGTTGAGAGGCGGGACATGCGGGGGGAGCGGGGGATAGGGAGCGAAGTGCCGAAGGAGTTACGCGAGCCCCGGCGGTCCCTCATGGAGGGAGCCAAGCTCAAGTTGTGCATAAATTGAGCGGCATCACTGATGGCGCTGCGGGTGGCGGGGATCTCGATGGCATTGCCGCCTGCAGACGGAATGGCGAGGCCGGAGGCAGCCCGCTGGTCCCGGGGGGAGAGAGCACCGTGGGGATCCTGGGCGCGGGGATCCTGGGCAGCCGGATCGACTACGAGGTCGGAATCCTCGAAGCGAGGCATGATGAAGGTATTGGATGGAGGGGAGGAAGTAGAAGGATGAGCTTCTACTTGGGGAGTCACTGGATTCAGGACTCTAAGGGGAAGAATTGAAGTTGTAATCGAGGAGAAGGAGAATGAAAATTGACTGATAAGGAAGCAAGATGGCAAAGGAGGGAGTTCAGCAGAGTATATATACAGGCCATATCTGTTACCAGACTCAAAAGACAAACGAAATTGGTATTTGCCATTGAGGTTACGAGGGATCCACTCACCGGGTATCATTATTCCTAGGAATTATCGTCATCATTTGGCAAAGATATAGGGTGGACCATTTCTCGCAATGAGACAGGCTTGTACAGGGTACCTGCGTCATTGTGGCTGACACAGTGTCTTTCCATGTACCTAATACACGGGACGTTCTACTTCCCGCGGCCGAATTGAATCAGAAAGGCGTTGATTGGACAGGACCAGACTTGCTGGGCCGAATATGAAGCAACACAGCACGCCGAGTGGGTAGGAAGAGGCCTGGGACGGACGGACGATTGGACTAGAGCGCAGTTCGCCCGTGGACCGACATGAGATCGATGGAGCCGATGACGATCAGGCCAAACGCTGAAAACACCGTTTCGGTTGGTGATGTCATGGCCTGGAGCTTTGAAAATTACCAGTGGTAATTTTGCGCTTTTTTTACTTTTTTTAATTTTTTTAAATCTTTTCTTTATTTAATATTTTATGATTTGATTTTGTTTTTCATTTTGTCAGGGCATGATGATCTCCAAAGAAAGAACGGAGAGTCAGTGTTTCTGATCGACATATAGAAAAGGAAAGTAAGGCTAAGTTGCAATATAGGTACATTCATGTAGTATATTGTACAAAGTATGCAGTGCAACCTAATTGCATATTGCAACTCAAAGTTCATTGGAATCAAATTAAATAACGAAATTATATAATTCCCATTCCCACCTGGCAACCTGGGAAGGTTTCTTCTGCCCCTCCAACCCCTCCACCCCACTTCCCAACATCGTCATCGCTCCCTAAGCTTCCCCCACTCTTTATCTTCTATCTTCCAACAGCCCGTATCTTTCTTCTTTCTATTCTTGAACTATATTCAAACTACACTACAATCATGTCATCTGGAAAGACTTTCACATTGAACAACGGGGTGACCATCCCTGCCGTTGGTTTTGGTACCTTCGCCAGCGAGGGCTCCAAGGGCGAGACCTACGCCGCCGTCACTGCTGCCCTCAACACAGGCTACCGTCACCTTGACTGCGCCTGGTTCTACCTCAATGAGGATGAGGTCGGTGAAGGCATCCGTGATTTCCTCAAGGCCAACCCCTCCGTCAAGCGTTCGGACATCTTCGTGACCACCAAGGTCTGGAACCACCTGCACCGTTACGATGACGTCCTCTGGTCCATCAACAACTCTCTCGAGCGTCTGCAGCTCGACTACGTTGATCTCTTCCTTATCCACTGGCCCATTGCTGCCGAGAAGGATGGCCAGGAGAAGCCCAAGATTGGCCCCGATGGAAAGGTAAGTGAATCTAGCTTTCCCCGCAACGAGCACACGAGCAGCTCCCAACTAACCCGGTATAGTACGTGATCCTCAAGGACTTGACCGAGAACCACGAGGAGACATGGCGTGCCATGGAGAAGCTGTACGCCGACGGCAAGGCCAAGGCCATCGGTGTGTCCAACTGGACCATCCCTCAGCTTGAGGCCATGGCCAAGTTCGCCAAGGTCCAGCCCACTGTCAACCAGATTGAGATCCACCCCTTCCTGGCCAACGAAGAGTTGGTGCAGTACTGCTTCGCCCACAACATTCTGCCCCAGGCCTACTCGCCTCTGGGCTCGCAGAACCAGGTCCCCACGACGGGCGAGCGGGTCAGCGAGAACAAGACCCTGAACGCTGTTGCCGAGAAGGGTGGTAACACCCTCGCCCAGGTTCTGATTGCCTGGGGTCTGCGTCGTGGTTACAGTGTCCTCCCCAAGAGCTCCAACCCCAAGCGCATTGAGTCCAACTTCAAGAGCGTCGAGCTCA